CTTAAATTTATTAAGACCACGCTCAAAACTCAATATATCTTATAATCATTATCTGAGTTCATTAACAGAACATAATATGTTGGCTCAGATAGTGATTATGAGATATATTGAAATTCGAGCGTGGTCCTAATAAGATATTCGAAATAAAGGTATAATATTGCGCAACTACCAGCCGAGGGAAAACATTTGTCGAAAATTGCCGATCTTGTGATTTTCTACTTGACGGCAGTACTGTGTAAATCGCTCGTCGTCACTTACCTCTCTATAGGAAGAGTAGGGGCTCCCGAGAGGATTGGCTAAAGACAAAAGGTCTGCCCGACTGACGAGGCTACAGTTCAAAAACACGTGTATCGGGCTGTACAAGAGGCCATTAACAGACCAAGTGACATGTTGGTTCAGATTAAAATTATGAGAAATTCGGTATTCTGGATGTTCACTAACAATAACGAAAAAACCCCACCTTGTGCATTTCATTAACAAAAAAAGTGAACTGCTGCACATAAACAGTTTACGACCTTGCCGAAACCCGAAGAACTCCAACTTCTTCCGTCAGAACGATCATTGTGATGGAATAAACGTAAATGAAAATCAGCACGTAGGCAGGTGGCCATCGTAAATCAAATTGCTGCCCGAAAAATCCTGTAAGAACAATTAATGTATGAGAGAAGAAAAAGTCTATAAGGGAATAGTCGAAAGTATTATCGCAGCGTATTCGACAAAAATTATACTTGTTCTTTTGAGTGTTTAATAGTTTTTAAATTTATCAGAACATTCTGAGAAATGAGCTGATTTCGCTATCGTTTATTAAACCTTCAAATTTAATTCTACGAATATCCGATTATTCGAAAGCATGATATAATTTCAAACAATTTAAACTCACCAGAGTTTCACAAACAATCTATGCGGCCATTTACCAATTCCACATCGCTAATCCTACAATAACGACAGTGTGCCTTGTTTCCACGACTTCACTGGTGGTTGTGAGAGACGTGGATACGATGGCGAATAGTTGACTCGGCGCCCATTACCACCCATTTAGAAACCTCATTTGTCACCTTGTGACTGCATGCAATTCATAAATCCACAAAATTTCGAATTCCATAATGTTGTCCCAGGGCTATAACAAACTGTTAGTTGACGAGCACTACGAAACCTGTAGCATGGTGTTAATTACACATGGAAAGTGAAAACTGAATATGGAAAGAAAAGAAAAACTACGGAATTCGATAACATGAAAAGTTCAATAAAGTCGGTTTGAATCTTGAGGATGTTCTTCTCAAATAATGACGAGTTATCAATGCTAGAATTAGAGTGGATTCAAGATCTGACCTCGTGAAAATAAATTACAACCAAAAACAATGACTAACAATACCTGTGTTGCGTTTCCAAGCACATACCTCCAACTAACTTGGACATTCAAAATTCATTCATTTGACCGCCTCTTCCGGTGATATGGTCTTATGATATGCGCGATAATGTGGAGTGCTGTGCAAGAACATCCGCGTCAGCCGGGATGGAAACCTAGATCTCACTCTTTCCGGGAGCGTGTGCTGAACCGTTGCACCACCAACGCTCGCTTTGCACAGCACTCTTTTTACGCTACAACGCGTTGTCTATCAACAACCAACCGTCAACGGTCTGCCGAGGCAGCCGCTATCGGTATCGAACCCGCTTGTGTTGACAGATACTGGGTATCGATAATCAATCGAAATTCATCTATTTGACTGCCTCTTGCGGTGATATGGTCTCATAATATACCCAATAATGTACATAAATTCCGATCGATTATTGATACCCAATATCTTTCAGCACAAGTGGGTTTAGTGCCGATAGCCGCTGCCCCGCCAGACCGTCGACGGTTGGCTGTTGATAGACAACGCGTTGTAGCGTAAAAAGAGTGCTGGTGCAAAGCGAGCGTCGGTGGTGCAACGGTTCAGCACACGCTCCCGGAAGGAGTGAGATCTAGGTTCGAATCCCGGTTGACGCAAACGTTTTTGCACACCACTCTACACTATTTTATTTATCATAACACCCATCTTTTTCAACGGTGACTCAAAAAGGTGCATTCTTGAAAAATCACCGAAAAAAGTATACACTCTGGTAAAACTGTTGTTTGAAAGCACATTAACTGCAAGAGTGCGATTGACTATCACTGATTTTTGCCAACAACTTAAACGTACGGAAAAGAATTCCAGTCTAGGAATTTATGGCTACTCATTAAATTGAGTTGCACTGAGAGGAAGCTACGAATGAGCACAACGGTTGATTTTCTTTGAATTGTAGTGTGCTCGTAAGAACAAGAGTAGTATTAGCAAAATTAGAATGAAAGTGCAAGTTAAAAATGCATTTATAGGTGTTTCGAGGCTGCAACTCAATGATTAGCGATCTATACTGCTGTCATCGGTTTGATTGTTCGTAGCATGTGATACACGTCTCAATTCCATTTTATTAATGTTTGGTATCGAAGGGTCTAGAAGATCGTGTATATAAAATTGATCCAATACTGGATTACTATCAACTTTCAGGCCTTCGATACATTCTGCCTTCACTATGATCTTTGATGAAGACGATTTCATATCCCCGTTTCAGGTACATTGAACGTTTAACATCTATTGTTAACTTAACAACAACGAACTATGACGAAGATTTTGTAAAAAAAAAGACTTAGCTCCGAATTACTCAGATCTTTCACAAGCAGAACATGATATCGCTTTATGACTATTTAGCGTCACACCTGTAGAAAAACCGCTCCCTGTTTCAGCGACTTCATTGTTGGGCATCAGAGGCTTAAAACACTTTATACATTTGCCTTTGTGTCAAAATAACGCGACTGTTATCATTTTATACAAAGCAGATTTCGGTTTTGCCTATTTGAATAGCAAGCGTCTGATTCAAATAGATCTTCCAAGCGACCAGCGAACGCTAGAGATCCACAGAGCAGCGTAACATTGTCAGAGAAAAATAGAATATTCAATTTTATTTCAAATTCGTCTTGTCAATAAAGAAGAGGACCGCTTGATTTAGTTGCATTCCACATTATTGGGTGATTCAGATATTGCTAAATGTTAACATGATGTTCGTGGAGCGACCAAGATTTGCTACCGTAAATTCTCAACAAATCGTGAGTTTGCGGAGGTTGTCGACAAAGTCGATTCAATCGACTCAGTCAATCGATAGACCGTCGGGATGCGGACGCCTCGCCGACACAGCACACTCATGTCCAATGGGCGAAGTGACAGCAAACGACGGCCAGCAACAGACATTCACCAGCAGGCGGCGGCGGAGATCGTTTTACCATGTTCTTTGTTGTTGTTGTGTACGTCGATTTTCTGCATTATCGATCGCTCTCAGTATACATCGATTGTTAATCATAGTCTCTGGTTCTCCCAACTCTAGACGCATGTCGACTGTCTAGTTGCTAGGAGGATCCATTGCATCATCATTGCTCGTGCCCCTCGCTTATGGCTCAGCGCCTCGCTCATTCTCACGTTGCATTGTATGGAATGCATCACTGTTCCATGCGGCTTTGGTTAGATGGAGAGACGTATTGATCTTTATCTTGGTCTTTGTTTCTTCGAACTGCTGTCTGACTGCTGTGTGGATCTATTCTATATTATACTAGTACGCATTCTACACTCGTAGCTCATCGCTTCCTACTGCGGCTCACATTTCTCACGCTTATCGCAGAAGTTTCATGTATCGTATACAGCAGCAATCTCATTATTGTCATCAACTACATTAACCCACTGACCACCGCTTCATATTAGTCTTTTTATTCTCAGCAATATATAAACTTTCTAAACCACCACTCTATCTTGAACGCGGTTTCTCACAACTATCACTCGTCTATGTCGCATATTACCGTCTTGGCCGTTATTGTTGTTAATGTTCGTCATGTTAGTAATATTATTATGTAGATAAAGGTTCAATACCCAAGTTTGAGGGTGAGACGCGTAGATCACCATCAAGCCAATCGAAAGCCGAACACCAACCATCTCCGCTTCAGAGGCCATCAGCGTTCTGGAAGCATTTTCCATCACACAACTTGAGATGGCGCAGTTCTCAAACACACGAGTACATAGAGGTATTTTTCGCTGAACACAGATTAAGAACACTTTGGTGGCTCGTTTCCAAGAACTCTAACACTCGACTTGTTCTCTATAAAGGCCTTCTTAGTGCGCTGTAGCAATTAAGGAAATTTATGTTGCATTTTCAGCTTGCATTCCCTACTCAGCTGGAAAAAATGAAGAAAAACTGCAAAACAACAATTGGTGCTGGCAGTTAACCAGCACACGATGAAAATCATATAATTTCTGGAACCGAGAGTCCAACGGGAGGATTTTTACTTGCTAACTTTAGGCCCAATCGCATATTAAGGCAAACTTAGCGCACGTTGAAGTGAAGGGACAAAAGTTTCATCATAGTTGGTTTAGAGGGTTTTGAGCCTAATCAGAAGCATAACTTTCTTTAATAATGTTAACATTCTGACAACATCAAACAAACATCGAACTTGACAAATATTGGTTGGTTTCGCAACGCAGATAAAATAATTTTCTTCGTGTCAGGTACAACAAGGGAACATCTCCTCTTGCCGTTAGAAAAGCAAGCAATCGTCGTTCTTGTATTTCTGCGGAAATCAATCCAACTATCTGGTATTTAGTCAAGCTGATGTTTTACTCAACATTTCAAGACAGTAATATTTCATCGAACAATGATATATATTGATTTGCAGTTTGCGAAAATATTCAATTCTATAGTATTGATTAGGGAACAAAATCCACACAAGTTTCTAACTCTTTTGAGTCAAATGATCCCATCACGTTACAGCATAAGCTCCTCTCTTAAGCAACCTTTGAGCTTTTCAGCAATATCAGCGCGAACACTTGAAGCCAAATTCTCACCTCACACCTATCCTCCGGAAGCCATTTTGGTTGACCGCCAATTGTAGTGTTATGATGTTATATTAAACTCAATGGTGCCGAGTGGTGTGCAAAAACGTTTGCGTCAGTCGGGATTCGAACCCAGATTTTACTCTTTTTGAGGGCATGTGCTAAATCGTTGCCCCACCGACGCTCGGTTTAGCACATGCTCCCGGAAAGAGTAAGGTCTGGATTCGAATTTCGGCTGACGCAAACGTTTTTGCACACCACTCTACACTATTTTATTTATCATAACACCCATCTTTTTCAACGGTGACTCAAAAAGGTGCATTCTTGAAAAATCACCGAAAAAGTATACACTCTGGTAAAACTGTTGTTTGAAAGCACATTAACTGCAAGAGTGCGATTGACTATCACTGATTTTTGCCAACAACTTAAACGTACGGAAAAGAATTCCAGTCTAGGAATTTATGGCTACTCATTAAATTGAGTTGCACTGAGAGGAAGCTACGAATGAGCACAACGGTTGATTTTCTTTGAATTGTAGTGTGCTCGTAAGAACAAGAGTAGTATTAGCAAAATTAGAATGAAAGTGCAAGTTAAAAATGCATTTATAGGTGTTTCGAGGCTGCAACTCAATGATTAGCGATCTATACTGCTGTCATCGGTTTGATTGTTCGTAGCATGTGATACACGTCTCAATTCCATTTTATTAATGTTTGGTATCGAAGGGTCTAGAAGATCGTGTATATAAAATTGATCCAATACTGGATTACTATCAACTTTCAGGCCTTCGATACATTCTGCCTTCACTATGATCTTTGATGAAGACGATTTCATATCCCCGTTTCAGGTACATTGAACGTTTAACATCTATTGTTAACTTAACAACAACGAACTATGACGAAGATTTTGTAAAAAAAAAGACTTAGCTCCGAATTACTCAGATCTTTCACAAGCAGAACATGATATCGCTTTATGACTATTTAGCGTCACACCTGTAGAAAAAACCGCTCCCTGTTTCAGCGACTTCATTGTTGGGCATCAGAGGCTTAAAACACTTTATACATTTGCCTTTGTGTCAAAATAACGCGACTGTTATCATTTTATACAAAGCAGATTTCGGTTTTGCCTATTTGAATAGCAAGCGTCTGATTCAAATAGATCTTCCAAGCGACCAGCGAACGCTAGAGATCCACAGAGCAGCGTAACATTGTCAGAGAAAAATAGAACATTCAATTTTATTTCAAATTCGTCTTGTCAATAAAGAAGAGGACCGCTTGATTTAGTTGCAAGGAAGACACAATAAGAGGCCTCATATGTATACATCTGTCTTTATTATTATTTTCCTCATTCATTTGAGCACTTTCTTAACTAATGGCAATATATAGATGATGAGAATAAATTAGGCCTTTCCATTTTCAAAAGTTGTAAGGAGGAAAAAGAGTGAAGCAACACTGCGCAACAACAATGCTATCACAAACTGCGAACATCTATTTTATATTAGCATGGACAATGCTCAAGTAAGTTACTATATTGTTTATGAGTCGGCAAGAACTTGTTCGGACAATTTGTGCAACAAATCCTGGGATATCAACGCTACCACCTTCCTTGAAACTTAGAGTGCTTCTTCTTAATAGGCTTCTCATAAAAAAATAATCATCAATGAATGTCGGAGAAAAACTCAAAAACAAAGAAAAATCATGAAGAGTTTTATTGAATAGAGATTTGCAATAGGTCTGTCCACTTCCTGTCAAGTGAGTCTGCTTAGTGAAACCCATTTCGGGTGATGTCGAGGCGTGCATTGCACATGATCATAGAACAATCTCTTTTGTGATTCATTTTATTCCTCCTAAAAAACACTTTAGGTGTTTTTCAAAGAGAGCTCGCTAGTCACTCCTCTAAAACTTATATTGATAATAGAAAAAGTATTTTCCGTTCATTATGCTAACATCATATAACAAAATATTGTCGCAATATGGAAAACTTCGTAAAATTGCGGTGTGGAATTGATTTTTGAGTGCCAATCAATTCACTATTCATTTCATAACCTACTGCCTTCTGCTAATCCCATATAACTGCCATGGATCTGAATGAGCTGGCACATTGATAAGCTTTTCTCTTATTGTCTACATGATCCGCTGTAGTCACTTTAGAACACAAATTGTGCACAACTATTTAGAATAGGGCTGCCTGCTTTCAATAAGGTCTTGCGCAAGGTTGCGCAACAGGATTTTTTATTTCAAATCATGATTGGAGCAAAAAACGATACTCATACATTTTCATTGATTCAGAATTATTAGTAGGATTCTACGACAACTAATGATTAGGTATGACACATCTGCAATCTGGGCACACGGTTTGTTGATTAGTCTTAATTCTTGGTGATAATTATGACAAGTTATTGAAAAACAGCAAATAGTGCCACTGACTATTTTGTCTCTCATAAAGAGAAAACATGTGGACATCTCCGAGACTGATGTGAATTTACTCAAATGTGAGCTGTCTCACATAAAATCAGGTTTTTTTTTTTTTTAACGCTCGGTTTTTTTCATGGGCAAGGGTCACAAATATCAAACGTTCACAACATTGAGATTGTCAAATCCCTATGAATTTTTATTTCCACTACTTTCAAGAGATCGTATAGCGTTGCAAATACATCTAAGAATCTTGAGTGGTATTGAACATTCTCCTCACATAGAAGTTTAGCTCATTCTTCACTCTCACCTGCGGAAAGTGCTAAAGTTACACCAGCCAAGACACTGCATTGCTATCACTTTTCTTCGAGGTGAAGTACTGAATTTGTTGGCAGTTAACCCATAATCGTTTCACCGAGTTAGCACAGATCGGCATCAAACTTAATTGACTACAGGATAGATTTGGCTGAAATTAGATTTTGTAATCTATAGATTATACTTATAGGAAAGCTATCACTTTTACTTTGTTCAATACCAATACATGCTCACCCGATTGAACCCGCTAACGGTTGGCTGCTGAAGGCTTCTACGATTTATGCCGAAGATAGAGTTGTGGCAAGCAGCACTCTCCGCGATATAGCAGTGGCATGCACCATCGGTAGAAGTGAAACAAGGTTTAACGAACACCAGTGATCGAGTTTATACGTATCACTCAATATTCTTCAATATACATTTGTAACCGAGAGTTACTTTTGGCTTCCAAAAATCAAAAAGTGGTTGTTGCTATCATAACCTTTCAAGCCAATTATAAGTAATCAATACAAAAACAAAGAGAAGAATCCAAAAACAACAATGGTGACAATGAATTGGAAATTATGAGTACAGTGTGACAGCATATAGGGACGTGTTAAACGGAAATACTAGTGTGACAGGAACATTCAACAATAAGTGTGCAAAAAACTATGAAAAGCCATTCACTGTTGAGCCAACAAACAGACGATAACTCTCAACAAACTACTCGTTGTTAGGAGTTCAATAGATACAAAAATCCTAACAATTCATCGCTATCAAGCACTCATTAACGCATACATAACACACGTTCAAATGGAAGAATAGAAGTAACTAATCATTAACGGCTTTGGAGTGTCTGAGAAAGTATTAAGAATACATGAAATCTCATCAAATTCGTTGGAGAAATTCAGACCTGTGATGAGAGTTGCAATTTTGTCTGATTGACCGATGTAGTGGAACTCCTAACCGTCACTTACTGAATTTGTGATCGCTGACATTTTCTTCAGAGTTCTCAAAGTTCCTTTCTGTGTCATTACTGCAATATAATGCATCAATAATTGTCCAATAACATAGCGTCATATGGTGGCTGACACAAAAGCACAAGAAGTTTACATAAACTAAGGTGAGGCACGCAGCGTTGACAATAATCAGGAATTTTTTTCGAAGCTGCTAATACCATGGAACATCTTATCGTGGAATTCTTTTGTCCAGTGTGACCTAATAGATAAAAGAACTCACAGTGCTTCAAAGACTTCACTACGGGCGAGGTGGACGGCATGTTTGGCGAACAAAGAAGAAAACTCAACTACATTTTTTTATGCGCAACGCTGTGCACAGAGAAAGTAGGATCAGTGAGGAACTGATGCATTCTCAAAAACCTGACTACTTGTTTTAAGCCTTTCAGAGGTCTGGAATGACACTTCCAGTGTACGTTTCGACTTTCATCACATGCCTCATCAGTATCACATACCTTTCGGTTAAACTTAGCTTCTGCTTATGGAGGAATCGGCGGAGAACACATTACACTGCAATCGGGTGAAAAGAGAACCTGACATTGCAGTGAAAGTCGATTGCTCAATAAATGGTAAAACAAATATAGCTATACATTTCTATTTAACTGTTTTTAATGTCGAATTTCGGACGAGATCTTCACTTTGCTTTCAGACCGTTTTTAAGACCCTGCCTGAACGTAATTTAAGGAAACAGTCGAATAGAAAAAAAACTGCTATATTTGTGTTACCAGCTACCTCGCTTGAATTCTGATAACAAATATGATCCAATAGAAAGGTATGCTGCAGTTGTTTTACCAGCTGTCTCGCCTCGATTCAATCTCAAAAAAAGTCAAATAGAAGTGTAATAATATGTCTATTTTACCAACACCTCGCTTGAATTTTGATAACAAAAATAGTCGAGTAGAATGGAAACACTATATTTGTTTAAACTGTTAATTTGCTCAATTTCGATTCACAAATAGCCGAATGAAAAGATGTTGATGCAATTGTCGTATTAACCATTGAGCACTCGACTGTCACTGCACTGTGAAGTGATCTTTTCACGCCGCCTGCAGTATAACATATTCGGCGTCAATACCCTTATATGTAGGAGCTTGATTGAACTAAAAGACGTGTGATATTGATGATGTTTGACAAGAAAACTAATACGCCGTCTAGCACATGCAATGCCGCACCAAACCACTGAAATCTTCAGAACGTGCCATCGGATTTCGTGCCAATTTTATGCAATCTCAAAAGGAGTCGAATAGAAAGGTTATGGAAAAGGTTTGTAGAAAAGAGCGATTGATGAGAGAGCAAATATGCTTCCATGTACTATCTATCAAGCAAAGTCTCAAGAATTTCCTAATGTACGGCTATTTGAATACTGTTGAGAAGTTTATGATTGTTGAGTCTAAAACGCTTACACAGAGGGTAGAGTTTAATTTGTGTAATAGAATCATTGTCAGTGATATCAAAGAGAAAAAAGACCG